TCCCTCCTAAAGTCCCTAGAGTGTTTCCGACAATTAGAGGCCCCTGCTTGGAACCCCCATGACTATTAGCGTATTCTGGGGTGTATATTGGGGTCCCCTATGGCTGGAAACCACCATACTACATTCGGAGGAAGGGATCACTTGTCTTCAGTTTCAGCTGGGGAAACCCAAACGCAACCCAAACCCCAAGCTTCCAAAATATGCCTGACCAGATGAGCCAGGAGCCCCAGTAACCAATTAAACCATAAACCCTAAATAGTAGTTTCCATTTTATTTTCCATTATCCCAGTATAACCCCTTCATAACCCCAATATTACCCCAATATTACCCCAATGAGTACGTATCCACACTCCAGACGGGTTCGCTTCCAGGGACAGATTTCCGGACGGGCGTGCAAGACCGGCTTCTGCTTTACGGCACGTCTGAAAACGCTGGCCAGCGTGGAATATCAGGACCCTGTCTAAACATGCTTCGGTTCTTTGTCAAACACACTCGTGCTAGCACTCACTGCTTCTTTTTGACGAAACGATGCGTCATCGTTTCGTGGCACCTTCTAGCTCTTCGCAAGCTGCATGTTTTACTCTGTGTTGCAAAACGCTAGCCAGCGTGGCACATTCTCGTCATTCCGTTCTTGCAAGCAGTGGGGCCTGCGCATCTTTTTTCTCGTGTTGCGAAAACGCACCTTTTTGGCCTGTCGGTAATCTTCTGGTTCTTGTTTGCGCTGACCCTGGACTGAGAGGTGCTCATTTTTACTTCTGGCGTTCACTGTGTAATTACCGGAGGGGCATTTGGGGGGTGGGGGGGGAAATCATGTTCGTAAATTGAGCTACTCGTATGGAGTCCCTGTCTTGAGCAAGGTATTCTCAAGAAACGGAGCATCTTGAGACATGGTCCTTATATGCCTGGCCAGAATTTTCAGACGTGCCGGCCTACATAAAACCTGTCATGTTGCTCTGCTGTGGGATCACAGACACATACTATTTGGAGGCCCATGGGACTTCGTAACTACTTATAACTGGGATTATAACCCTAGTTATAACCTGGGTAACCCCTATAAGCCCATTTAGGGGGATTATAAGTAGGGTTATAAGCCCAGTTACAAGTGGTTACTGAGTTCCATGGGCCTCCAAGTAGAGGTCAACGTCACCAACTTGTAATCTTATAAGAGAACTGCTCAAACGATGGTTGCAATCATACCTACAAAGGACCATTCTATGACACGCATCATGACAAACAAGCATGTTCCAGCACTCTGGCAACACAAAAAAAACTCCAAAACCTGAATCGCCGAAATGTGCCAAGACCACGATTCCTTGTAAACTCCATACGAAAGCCTCCCTGCAAATGAACCTGCCGGTAACCCCTACACCCAAGAGTTTGACCGTCATCCCTACAGGACAGCTCAGGAGGACTCCCCACCCTGTAGTAGTGGTATGATATGGGGGTTTCCCAACATTAGGGGTACCTCTTTAGGGGTCCCCAAAATAAGGATCATAGTATTTGGAAATCTATATTAGGGTCCCCCTATTTAGGGAAACTACCATATACATATAAGAGAACCCTGATATAATCACCATTATCCCTTATAGTCACTACGGTGGATACTAAAAATCCTGCATGACCCTAAGTACCTTATACCTTGGGAATTATAGTACTATAGTATATTAAGGTCATGCAGGATTTTTTAATATTAACAGTATTACTGGGTGGGGGGGTCCACCTAAAGGACACAAGCTGGGTGCGAGACCCAGTTTCCTCAGCAAAAGATAGCCGGCTTCCCTCCGGGACCTCAAGAAGCTATGACCCTATTAGGGTTTAGGGTTTAGGGTTTAGGGTTCAGGGTTTAGGGTTTAGGGTTCAGGGTTTAGGGTTTAGGGTTTAGGGTTTAGGGGAAGAGCTGAAGTATATTGGGGTTATATGGGGATAATGGAAAAGAAAATGGAAACTACTATAATGTATAAGGGTATATATAGGGATTATATAAGGATTATAGGGGATATATTGGGGTTATATGGTGATAACGGAAAAGAAAAATCGAAACTATTATAATGGGTTATGTAGGGTTCAGGGTTTGGGGTAGTTTGTTTTGAAGCTGAAGAGCCAGGGGCTTAGATTTTTGCCCACGTGCTTTTGGGTTCAGGGGTTAAGGTCTAGGGTTCAGGGTGATTCATAGGTTAAGCTTCAAGGGTAGGAGGTTGGCAAAAGTCTGCCATAGTGGACTCTTGGGTGGCCTTCGCATACGCGAGGGCTGTTTGCAGCAAGGCTAGATGTTCTACAGGATTTGTGATTTCATGGCTGCTTTGCACTGACAGTTCAACATCCCGAGCAGCTCGGGACTCAGGACTTGGGGAGATTACCAAGTTCCGCCGGTTTGGCGCAAGGACTTCGCAACTTTACAAGTATCTTTGTGGGTGAGCTTCTCATTTAGAGAAGCTCCAGCAGCAAGCACCTAAAAGATGAAGCTATACACCCTAATCCCTGCAGCCCCAAATCCCAAAACTGCTTCAAAACGCGCAGCAGAATATAGTAGTTTCCATTTTCTTTTTCCATTATCCCTACATAACCCCAATATATCCCCTATAATCCCTAGATAACCCATTATAGGCCAAAGTAGTTTCAAGGAAGCGCCTTCATCATTGCGCTGCCAAAGTGAAGGTCCTGCATGGGCTGTGGTCTACAGTCACCCTCAAGTAGATAGAATATGGGGCATATGGGGATCTTCTTCTAATATACCCAAAGCCATATTCTATCTACCTAAGGGGGATTATAGGGTGTAGGGGTTAAGGTCAAGAACTTACAGTCCCACATGCACTGGGAAAGTGTGAGAGTTTGGGTGTCCCAGGCTCAGGGTGCTGAGGGTTCAGGATGGGGTTCGAAGCTTGGTGTCCTCGGTCTAGCATCAGGAGCTTGAAGGCTTGTGTATTTCTGGGTTTTCCTAACCCTCTCTATTTTACCCCTCTACCTTTTTTAGCCTTGTTTTACCCTAGATACACTAGTTAACGGGGTACCTAGAGGGTAGTACAGGTAAGCATGACATGCCAAGGATGAAATCTTGTTTAAGCTACAGTCCACATTTCCTTATGTAGTTGATGGACATGGATCCTTGCTAGGGAATATATTAGGGACTAGATTAAACTACCATACAGACCCCTATATCCACTCTTAATTGTGCCCTGGCAACCCTAAACCCTAAACTCTTAATGGTCTCCTAGTAGCCCCCTAAACCCTAAACCCTAAACCGAGTGGGATCCCAACAGGCATCAAGCTGATTTAGGGTTTAGGGTTTAGGGTTGGAGTGTTCGTGCTTGCATAAGATTATGGTTCAGGATTTAGGGTCCAGGGTCCAAGGTTTAAGGCAAGTTTATTTCATCCTTCGAGAAACTGGCTGAGTTCCCTGACACCAAGAAGAGTCTAAACTCATCCCATACAAGCCCGAGTGTAATGTTTACCCATTCTGGCAGGGATAATAGGCCACCTTAAGAAGCTGTACGGTTTAGGGTTTAGGGTTTAGGGTTTAGGACAGTCCCAAACAAGCAACATCAACCTGGAGAGAAACTAGCGCGGAGCTGTAGAGTTTCGGCCGCGGGCCCCCAGTACAGATGAGGGGGGGTCCTTGATCCCGAGGTCCCTATACATGGTACTTTCCCTAAATAGAGGGACCCCAATACAGACTCCCAAATACTATAACCCTGATGATTGGGACCCCTAAATGGTGCCAATATTTTAGGAAAGGTCGACATATTGTAGTGAAAACCTCCTAAACCCCCCCGAGAAAGGGGTGAGTGCCCATATTTGGGGAGCCCATACTTGGAAACCTGCAGGGTGACATGAGGATTTAAGTTGGGTACTGCCCTCACCCTGTAACAGTCTACATTAGGTTGCCATATTTGAAGATAAAATATGACCACATTATCTATATATAGATATCATCCAACTGTTACACAGTCGGGGCAGGACCCAAGGTTGAGAGATCATCAACCATTGTTGCCAATTCCAAATGGGAGGGCTAATGGGTGTTCTACATCGCTGGCCTGCCCACTTCACAACAACCCTGAACCCTAAACCCTAGATAGTAGTTTCCATTTTCTTTTCCATTATCCCTATAAAAGCCCTATATAACCCCAATATATACCCTACACTATTATAGTTTAGCCAATTACCGAAGGCAAAAGCGAAGAACTCAGGACAGGCCTTCTACCGGATAGATTTTACTACGGTGGATACTAAAAATCCTGCATGACCCTAAGTGCCTTATACCTTGGGAATAATGGTACTATAGTATACTAAGGTCATGCAGGATTTTTAGTATCAACAGTACTCCACCACGCTCCTACCTTAGACCCTGCTGGACCTTTGAAACTCTGAAGCCCATCTTTAAGTGCCTGTCAACTTAAGGCAAGGGTGCTGGGTTCCCTAGCCCACATTACCCTAGGAAGAAAAAAAGGATTTTGGTTTTAAATATACGGAATCCCATACCCCAATAAGTATAAAGGATCCCTAACCTTGATCCAGGCTTAGGGTCAGGAACATCCCCAGATGCCCAAGGCAACAAGTCTAGGGCCCCCACATAGGCCACATTCGCCGAATGCCTCCCGGCACTACCACATGCCAACAAACGCCGAGCTCTCTCAAAGGGTTTGGGGTTTAGATCTTTTCCGAAGAAATTAATTGGTGATTTATGCCTAGATCTTGTGATCATGCTAACTTGTTTCTAGGGACTGCGACACACGTGTACATGGTAATTACAGAGAACGTCCTTTCAGATGCGTGACTGTCCCAAACAAGTCTTGATTACTGGGAAGTTAATGGAGAGCTATAACTGGTATTGTAAGTAGGTTCTCCGTACGCTTACATCCTTCTAATCCTGCCTGGGGTACTCATTATCACCCTACTTATGCCTGCGGGCGAACCTGCAAGTAGAAACCCCAGGTTTGAAGCATGCTCCCCTTAACCGAAACCCTAAACACAAACTCTATCCTGCCTGAGAAACAAATGCAAAGGCTCTCCAGGAGCAGGATCTTCTGTCGCGTTGTCCCCATAGACGAACACCTGCGGGATTCAGGGCCCAGGGTTCAGGAGTTTAGAAGTTTAGGGATTGAGGCGTTTAGGAGCTGAAGAGTCCGGAGGTTTGGGGTTTGGCATCGAAACCATCAAGGCTACCACTACGCCTGTTGCAACGGAAGGGTTTGTACAGGAGACGTCTTTAGGTCTTGCTACTTCTCGCTGCGTCGGCTAAGACACCAAGGTTGTCACTTTGATTGGTTTAGGGCTTAGGGTTTAGGGTCTGGGGGTGTAGGGTTTAGGGGTGTAGGTTTTAGGGGTGTAGGGTTGAAGGGTTTAGGGTTTAGGGTCTAGGGGTGTAGGGTTTTGGGTTGAGGGTTGTAAGGTTTAAGGTTTAGGGGTGTAAGGTTTAGGGTTTAGGGGTTTAGGGTCTAGGGGATATCTGAGGGGGAATTCCTTTTTGGAAACTCCTGTGTAGAGGATCCTTCGCTGCTCTGAGCCGGATCTTCTTTCATCTTGGGTGTGGGATGCATTAGGAGGACCCCCCACCCTGTAATAGTGGTATAAGAGGAATATACGAGGACCCTAATATAATCCTTATTATCCATAATAGTCACTATTACTGGGTGGGGGGGTCCACCTAAGCGATGCAGGTCCAAGAACACATGCTCTAAGGGACCCCCCCTAAATCGGCAGTTCCGAGGAACAGGTCCCCCCCAAAAAATATCCTAGTCCTTATCATGCTGTTACAAAGGACGGTTAAGTTGTTCTAGACCACCTGTGCAATCCATCTGAGCCATAATCTAAACTCCTAGCACCCCCCTTCATAACCCCTATAATAGTCCCCTATGTAATCTCCCATGTAACCTCGTTTAAGGAGTTTGGACTATAGCTCATCTCGGACGACTGCTGCCCTAAACCCTAAACCCGAGAAGGCCTGAAGACTGGTCTGAGATCCAAAGAGCAGGTGAACCTAACGGGTGTCATCTCATGCAATTTATAGTCTGCACTCCTGAAGGGGGTTATATAGGGGATTATATAGGGGACTACTATAGGGAAAATTGAGGGGGATACTTGGAGTTTAGACTATAGCTCATGTAACTAATGTAGCTGATAATCGCCGAGGCTGATCCAGCCTGAGTGCGTGGAACCCTCTAAAACCCCTCTACTCCCTCTTTCCAAAACTCCTCAACCGCTGGCAACATCCCCCCCTCCCTCCGCTGGTGGCCGGCCAGTCAAGCCTCACCCAGCAACAAGTAAATTCCAGGATTTCCAAGGCTTGAGAACCTAATTTTTTACTATATGAGCTATAGTCTAAGCTCCGAGCACCTCCCCTAATAACCCGCATAATACTCCCCTATATAATCTCCTGTATAACCTCCCTTTGAGGAGTTTAGACTATAACTCGTATCCATAATATGGTAACTTAAGATAAGTTCCAACAAAGCAGCCAGCACCCTAAACCCTAAACCCTAAACCCTAAACAGTACTCTTACATACACAGAAACGTTGGCCAGTCAATACAGCCCGGCAGGACATCCACTCCTGGAAGCCCTGCGGGAAAGGGAAGGCCACTTCAAAAAGGGTTTAGGGTTTAGGGTTTGGGGTTTGGGGTTTGGGGTTTAGGGTTTAGGGTTTTGGGGTTTAGGGTTTGGGGTTTAGGGTTTAGGGTTTAGGGTTATGGTTGACGCTTCGATGCTGCATGACCGGGCGCCCTAAACCAGGACACCTGGTGAGTAATAGTATACCCCTAAACCCTACACCCGGAGGGTGCGCAGGTTTGACCCCATTAATCCCCAGTTTTTACCTACTTACGAAGTCTCCAACCCCAATTCTAGACCCTAAACCCTAAATCCTAGACCCCGGATCCTAAACCCTAGACCCTAGACCCTCAACCCTGGACCCTATACACTGAACCCTAGACTTTGGACCCTGCGCGACCCTAGACCCGAAGCCCTAAACCCTAGACCCAGCCCTAAACTCTGGACCTCTGGACCCTAGACCCCAAGGCCTAACCCCTGAACCCTACACCCTAAACCCTAACTAGTAGTTTCCATATTTTTTCCATTATCCCAATGTCATCCTATATAGCACCTATACTATCCCAATATTATCAATCCCTGTGTTCAAACCTGGACCCTACCTAAACCCTGAACTGCAGGTGTTTTCCACCTCACGGATGATCTGCCCCTCGGGATGCTGCGGCGTGGGCCTCGGATTCCAAGTGTTCGAACGAAAAGAAGTTTAGGGTTTGGGTTTAGGGTTTGCGGGTTTTAGGGTTTAGGGTTTTAGGATTTCAGGTTTAGGGGACGCTTTTTGGGGTGCCTAGAATAAGGGGAGAATTCTACTTGTCGTCCCCCTAGTTATGGAAACCCCTATTCGGGATTTGAGGTGATTTGTTAGAACCTCTGTGTTTGAGGATTAGGGTTTAGGTTTTAGGGTTTAGGGTCAGCATCCCTGTTGCAAAGACTCTAGCTTTACTTGCAGCCCCACTATAATATACTGGGGATATCTTATATGTTAGGCGGTGGGAGGTTCTACTACTAATTAGGGAAAACATGATATAAGGCATGTTTCGTAATGAAGGGCTAAGGGGTGGTCGGCTCCCTCTGTTCACTTTGCACCTCTGCTGCCTACAAGGAACCCGCGACGGAATTTGAAAAAAAAAACAAGTGAAGTCGATCCAAACCTTCACATCCTACATCCTTAACCCCAAGACCTCATCCAAACCTTCAAATCCTAGATCGTTAGCCCCAAGACCTCAAGCCTAAACTCCAAACTCTAAACCCTAAACTCTAAACCCGAAACACGAAAGAGCTTGCGATGCCAAGGGGCTTTGCCACGGTGGACTGCCACGCCATGCGAACCACCTCGTCGCTGACCTGAACTTGAAAATTGGTTAGGGTCTAGGGTAGTTTAGGGTTTAGGGTTTAGTGTTGAAGGAGAAGGAGGGCGAGTTGCAACTGCTGTTATGAAAGCAAATAACACACAGGGTCGGAGGCTTCGGGAGCGTATGATTGGGTTATAAGTACAGCAATAAGTAACCCTGATCCTTCAAGAAGGCGATTTTGGATTTTCGGGCGAACATCTTGGGCTTGCAGCTTGATAAGGGACATAACAGTACCTACCTTGACTCCCCCACTGCTTCATAAGCAAATATGAGTACATGGATTTGGTTAGGACCAGCCGTCCCTCAGTAACCGTCGCTAAGAAGCCCTGCAAGGGGCCTTCGTATACCCGTATACCCAGAAGTGAAGCTTGTCAAGGCTATTCGTGTACAGGGGGCTATGTATATATATATATAGACAGAGAGATAGATGTATACATATGTAAGCCCTAAGCCCTAAACCCTGTATGTACATACGATGCCTCCAAATTCCCTTAAAACGGGTCGTAGGTTGAATTGTGCCGCTTGATGCCATGCTGCGGTGCAAGGTGTAGGGGTTTGGGGCTTAAGGTTTGGGTTTCAGGGTTTAGGGTTCAAGGAGAGGGCAATTGGAGGGTCAGGGATGATCTAACCAACGGTCATGGTGGGTGCCCCGACAGGGCTGAGCGTTTGGAGTATTCTGAAAGTAGATACTCTGGCGACCCGAAGATACGTAGAGATCGCGCGTCGTATTATGGGGATCTTACTTAGGTAATGCCCAAAATTTGTTGGGGAACTCCCGTTCTCTCCTCAAACAGAAGAATGTTGCTAACTCCTTGCTGCGACTATGCAACCCAGAACCCGCACACACCGTCCAGAAACCTTTAGACCCTAACCAGCTAAACCCTTGCACCCTGAACGCTTAAACCCTAAACCCGTAAACCCCTGAACCACCTGAATCTGAAACCTTCAACCCCGGAAACCCTGAACCCTTGAACCCCTGAACCCCTGAACCTCTGAACCCCTGAACTCTGAGCTAATCCCTGCAAATCCTGTCATCTCTCAAACAGAATTCCCATGTCTCTCTAGGGTTTAGGGATTCAGGTTTAAGGTTTGGGTTTTGGCAAGAAGGGTCTAGGAGATGGTTTAGGGCGGGTTGTGGCCAACAAGCCTATATTCCCAGACCCCCTAAAGGATCCAAAAAATGGAACCCCCCAAAATAAACCCATTACTACATTGGGGAAACTATAGGATTATTAGGGGGTTCCTTTTTTGGATCCTTTAGGGGGTCTGGGTTGGCTCGAGCTTCCAGCCTCTCAAAGAACTTTGCAACTCTAAACTCAAAATCCTAACCCCTGAAACCCTAAACCAACGGACCTCATACTTTCTACGAGCTTCGTAGCCCAGACCCTGAACTCTAGTAGTTTCCACTTATCCCTATATGACCCCAATCTACTATAGTAGTTTCCATTTTCTTTTCCATTAATCCCCCTTACACCCTAAACCCTAAACCCTAAACCCTCAAAGCCAATGGACCTCATACTCTCCGCGAGTTTTGCGGTAGATCTTCAGCCACTCGCCCAAGTGCTCTGGAATCTGCCTTCCACGCCAAAGCGGCTTCGCGTTTAGGCTTTCGGCAAGCTAGGGTTTAGGGTTTAGGGCCCCTAAACCCTAAACCCCAAACCCTGAACTTTAGGGTTTGGGGTGTAGTCTTTTGTGGAGTTGAAGAAGTCAGGGTTGAGGGCATCGGGGTGAAGGTATATAGTTTCATCACGAATGGTTGGGTTACAAGGCTCTGGATTTATAGGTTTGTGGCCCTAAACCCTAGACCTGGCCGGAATTAAGCGCTAGCATGTCCTAAGCCCTAGGCCAGAGTCACTTAACTGCAGAGTTGAAAGGCCCGGCTTTCCCTTGGAACCTCGAGTTTAGGATTAGGGTGCAGCTTCAAAGGCCGTAAATAGCAAAAATCAGAAGATACAGTTGGGCTTGGGAAAACAAACCCTCAAAAGGGAGCCTTGCTCCAAGAATCTCTCACATCAGCCCCAAGGATATTGTCTTTCTATTTGGGGAACTTTAGTACCCTTGTCTAAGATACTAGCCACTTCGACCTTAGAGGGCGAAATTGGCCTGGCAAAATGCTGCACTTGCTGATCGATGTCATCGCCAGGAACTGCCTGCCAGCAGAGGGGCACATTCCCCACAAGTTTAAGGTTTAGTTTAGGGTGGGCTTAGGGTTCAAGGCTATTGTTTGCGCTGAGAAATTGGCATGGCGCAAGTACCATTTCCATGACTATTTGAGCTATAGTCTAAACTCCTAGTATCCCCCTTAATAAGCCCTATAGTAGTCCCATATATAACCCCCTATATAACCCCCCGTTAGGAGTTTAGATTATGGCTCATTTGGAGGCGGGTGATTATTGGGTCGAACTCTGCCACCGGGGACGAGCGGCACAAGCGCTGCCCACTATTGTACCACCCGCCGAGTTTTGGGTTTAGGCCCCGAAGACCCTGTATAGGGTTTAGGGAGGCGGGTTTAGGGTTCAGGGTTTAGGTCTTCAGGTTTAGCCCTTTTTGGGCCCATGGTTTTGAAGGGACAGGTACCTCGACCCTCTTGAGCAAGGAAGGCATCCCGCCTCGTACTCCAAGGCAGACATGGGACCCCTCATCTTCAGAACCTGTCCAGTTTAGGATTTAGGGGTTTAGGGGTTTAGGGTTTCGGGGCTTCGGGCTTAGGATCTAGATACGATTTTGGGTTTTCGAGTTCAGGGCTTAGGGTTTGGAAGTGAGTTTTTAGGTGGCTTGTCATCTGGCTTTTGGGGGGGCCAAGGACTTGGGTAGAAGCTTGAAGCGCGCTCTTGTCGTTTAGGGTTTAGGGTTTAGGGTTCCTGCTCCAGAAAATCCCAAACCCTAATCACTCAACCCTAATCCCTAAACCCCTCAGGCTCGATGAGGCTTGCAAGGGACATTCCGAAGCTTTATAGAGGGGTGGGCTGGGGGTATAATAGTGGGATAATGGGAAATTCTGGAACCTACCATCATAGAAGGGGGTATATATTGGGGTTTACGCCCCAAATTGTTTTGAGCAAGGAGTGCACCAACTCTCTTCAACGGAAAGAATCTGACGCTCGGAAGGAACGGAAGGGGAATAAGGGGGGAAGCGAAGTACCCTTTCCGGCAGATAGGAACCTCGGTTGGAGTTATGATAATGCTGATGCATGACCTGAGTGTTCTGGACGCCGTCAAGAATGAAAATCCATCTGTGACTTTCTGCAAAATCATAGAAACGCTTTTGGCCCTAAACCCTAAAGCCTTTTGGGCATGGACATGCTGTGGCTACTTGGGGCCTTTGGAGTGAAAGCCTGATGTTGAGGGGGAGTCTGGGCGACGGTTAAACTAAAACTTCTAAATTGCAGATTTACAGCAAAATCATCCTAAACCCTAAAGTTTAGGGTTTAAGGTTTAGGGTTTAGGGGCTAACCCCTAAACCTTAAACACCCTGACCCCACGAAGCCCTTTACGATCAAACTCCGGCCTTGGTCCGCTCCCCCTAATATCAAACCATTCCCCACCCCCCCTACTATTGAATACTCCCAATAATATTTAATATACCACATAATGGAAGTGAGGGATGGTGGGAGGGTTTAAGATTAGGGGGAGGGGGTGGAGGGGAGGGGGAAGTTTAATATAAGGGGGAAGGGGTTACGGGCTCCATCCGGTAGCAGCCAGCAAAATCCCAACAACTGTATATGATCACTCATGACTTTCCGAATAGGTAGGCAGTTTCCATGAATAGGGGGACCCCAATATAGACCTCCAAATAGTATATAGACCTCTAAATACTGTATAAACCTCCAGTATAGGGATCCCAAAAAGTACCCCTAAGTTTAGGAAATCCCCAGTCCGCCTTTTGATTGCCTCTACGACACACAGGAATAACGCGGGAAGACTGACTCTTCATATGAGCATTAGTCTAAACTCCTAGCATCCTCATCAATAACCTTAGGGTTTGGGATTTGGGATTTGGGGTTTTAGGTTTTGGGTTTTGGGTTTGGGGTTTGCCGTCTCAACTCCTAGTATTCCCCCTAATAAGCCGTATAATACTCCCCTACATAATCCCCAATATAACCTCCTTCAAGGAGTTTAGACTACAGTTCGTATGGAGCAGTTGGGCTCGGACTTTCTCACGAACGATACCAGGGACTGTGATGAAGTGCTACAAGGAATCCTATAGATCCATCCTTGCTCTCGCAACGTGCTTATATACATATATATATATATAGTTGAACTAAACCCAAATTTGAACCAATCAGCCTTGAAATCTAGACCGTAAGCCAAAAAGCTCAAACCCTAAACCCCACACCTGAAACCCTTAAATCCTTGCAGCCAAAACCTGCACCCTAAAATCCCTAAAACCTAGAAACCACACCTTCCCCCTAGCCTAAACCCTAAACCCTAAACCCCAAACACCTCCTCCTTGGAGCTGGCTAGATGACCAAAAATACCTGCTCAGGGACTGCAGCAGGTTGCTTTGTAAAAATGGGTTTAGGGTTTAGGGTTTAGGGGTTTAGGGGTTTAGGGTTTAGGGGTTTAGGGGTTTAGGGGTTTAGGGTTTAGGGTTTAGAGGTTTAGGTTCAGTACCGCCCCCCCTCAGTAACAGCTGGATAGTAATTATAATGTGGTTATATGTAGCCCTTAATAGGACCCTTAATATCGACTGTTACTGGGTGGGGGCGGTACCCAAGGTTTAGGGTTACTGTATGGAGGGTCTAATCCTAACTTTCATGCTCTACTTTGGTGTCACGGCTTTCAGGGCTTAGGGTGTTCACTGTGGGCTTAGAAGTTTTGGAGATTTCAAGCCTTCGATTTTTTCAGATTTCAGAGAGTTGGTGGGATTTAGGCTGCAGACGCTGGTGGTCCTAGGCTTTAGAAGCTTAAGGTTTCATGGGATAGGATTTAGGAATTAGGCCGGGTTCAGGTTTGGGTTGCGTGGGTACCCTAAACCCTGGGTCCTAAACCCTATTGTCGACACCAGAGAACCTAGAAAGGCTCCATGAATACCCTGAACCGGTTCAGCTCGTGTGGGAGCTTTTGGCTTTGAAGGAGCTATGGGGGCCTATGTAAAAGCTCCCCCTTTAAGAAGTCCCGGGGTCTGTAGTTTGGAGTCCCAGGGATCTCAGCTAAAAGTTTGAAGGGTCAAGGTGGAGATCTGAGGGGCTTCAACTGCACCATCAGAAACAGGAGCCCGATCCTAGTTTCTGAATTATTCTCGCCCATGGGTCGTGGAATCTACTGGTCAGTAGTTTCATGGTGGAAAATCTCACATGCCGTAGCCCTCCTACACCACTAGTCACCTCAAGGTGGCTCCCACTGGCTCATACCCTGCAACCCAGCCGTTGCTCCAGAAACCTTGAACCACACGCCGGCAAGAGCAGGTGGAAAGAATCCTGATTGACCCTAAGTATACTCCCCCAAACTAACATGGAAACCCATATAGTCCCTTTTTAGAAGGACTGTAATCTTTATAGGGCTCCTTTTTGGTTTCCATGTTAGTTTCCGGGAGTGTATACTGGACGACCAAGCTTCCCAGGCTTCAGACATGGGGAGTCATGACAGGTTTCGTCCATCAACAACCCGCAGCCATGCTCCAAAACCTTCAACTTTAACACACTTTACCCAGACCCCTGGGAGGATCTGAAAATTAAATCCCCTATATAGACCATTTATAACCCCTATGTAATCCTTATAAAAGTTCCCATATGGTTCTGGGGGATCTAATTTTTAGATCCCTTTGGGGGTCTGGGTAGCCTATAGGAAAAACCCTGCTTTCTTGCACCTCAGAGGCTTTGCTCATCATTGCACATTGCGCTTGCCCTTTTGTTTAATACTAAATGTCCCACTCCCCTTACTAGCCTCTGGCACTAGTACCATTGCTCATTGCCCCCACTCTCTCAAAGCTTTGAACCTCAGACCCTGCGCCGTGAGCCCTAAACTGCGCACAACCTCAAACCCCGAAACCTAAACCCGGAGCCCAAGGCCTGCACCCTCAACACGAAAAAGAAGGAGCCTGATGTGCCTTAACCAAAGATAAATCTTATATCATACTCGGACACCTGACATAGTTTAACGACCATCCCTTCATTAAGCGGTGCTGGACTCCCTAGATCCTAATCTCTGGGTATCTATCTGGCCTTGAAAGCCTTGCTGAATTGTTGCGATGAAGCCGCCGTCTTTGGACGGTAACATCTGAGGGTTCAGGGCTCAGGGTTTTGAGTTGAGGGTTGACGTTTTAGGTTGTAGCGTTAAAGGTTTTACGTCGAGGGCTTGGTTACAGGTCGGGCTTAAGGCTGTAGGGTCCAGGGTAGAGAAAGGGGTGTTAAAAAAAAGTCTTGAGAATGTGTTTATGTGATGAGGTTTGGGTTTGGCATCCGCCGGCGGTTCACTTCCTGGGTTGCTGTTAAGGAACTTAAATTAAGTTTCCATGATGGGTATATATAGTACTAATAATAGGGTTTACCCAATATGGTAACTTGAATTAAGTTCCAACACAGCAACCCAGTATTCGCTCATACTCCCTATGCTCGTAGATCTCCGTGTCAAGCAGGTCCGCACGCCTCTGCATTGCTCAAGGTCCAGTCGACACAGACTCCTGCGTAGTTGCAGCCTCAAAGAGTGGAAGTGCCACCATGGCCCACTTATGCAGGGGTTCAGGGTTTTTTCTAGCCCAGCTAGGACTGACTGATAATCCAATTCTAAATCCTTGAGCCCCATGATATGGTTATGATTGGGGTTACAACTGCAATCCTGCTTGGGTAATGATTACGGGTCTTGGGCTAAGAGCTTCAGAGTGGAAGGTTTGTACGGTTTGGAGATGCAGGTGCGAGGACAAGATCTCAGGCAAAAGAAATACAAACTCTATATGGGTGGTTGTCAAGAATATGGTCCCTTTTTGGGTACCCTATAAATTAGGCGCCGTATTATAATAGGTACCCAAGAAGGGACCATAATTTTGACAATCACCCATATTGGGTTTAGGGTTTAGGGACAGGATTTGGGGCTTAGAGCTTTGAAGTTCCGGAGACTCAAGGCCTATGGGATCGGACCCAAAAGCCGGAGGATGGTTTGGGAATCCCACAGAGTTTACTAAACTGGTTTAGGGTTTGAGGGTTTCATCCAGAGAGTGATGATCGTAGCTCACTTGTATCAGAGTAGCTGCTATTCATTACTAAAGGAGACCCTATAATGTATGGGTTCGGAGGACCCCCCACCCTGTAATAGTGGTATAATAGGAATATAAGAGGACCCTAATATAATCCTTATTATCCACAATAGTCACTATTACAGGGTGGGGGTACCCCTAATGTATGGGCCTGAATGATTTTACCAACATTGCGGCCCCAGATTCCTTACAAAATTATGGTTTCGAGTACCTCAAACAGACCTCAAAATAAGATTGGTGATCATTTGGGCCCTGGTAGTATAGTGTTCGGTCAGTGGTTGGCGCGGGTTCATTCTGGAGGGCAGCGTGGTTCTTGGACGAAATCAGGGGAAGGATTTAGACTTAGACCTTATTTTTCCTCAAACCCGGCCCGAAACCCTAAGTCAGAACACCTAGACTCTAAATCCCAAGCCCCAAGTCCTAAACCCAAAGGTAAACGCAAGAACCCTCAATCCTAAACCTTGTGGTTTTCTTGTCCTTGTAGGCTTGCCGGATTCTTATAGCCTAAGTTCCGCACGGTTTAGGTTTAAGGTTGAGGGGTGCGTGGCTGAAGGTTTAGCGGGCTTTCGGGCTTACGGGTTTCGGGCTTCTTTTTATGAGACCTTTTCTCCTCTGTCCAGCATCGGAGAGCGCCTTACGGCGAGGTCTCGGGCTTTAGGGTTTAGGCTTTTGGGTGCGAGGTTTGGCGCTGAAGCCTCTACTCTGCATCTCGAGATGCTGTACCCAAAGCCTACACCTAGAAGCCCTAACGCCATAGATTTCTAGCCCGACTCTCAACTCTACAGCTGTACGCCGCAACTCTTCCATCTCGATGGGGCCTAAAGTCTTTTTTTGGGATCCCAAAGCTCTGCAGCCCTTGACAAACCCTACACCCCAACCCCTAAACCCGAAACCCTATATAATCCCTCCTATGTGATAGTTTCCCAAAATTAGGAGTACCATTTTGGGGGTCCTTATAATAAGGATTGTAATATATTGGGGTCTATATTGGGGTCCCCCCTATTTAGGGAATCTACCATGTAATCCCTGTAGAATCCAAACCAAATCCCCAAACCCTAAACCCTAAACCCCAAACCCTAAACCCTATATGATCCCTATGTCAAACCCTTTTTGAAAACTCTCCACCTCTGGCCGCTCTTTGACGGGCTTCTGGGCGGCCTGCGCCACCTGGGAAAAGCTGGGTGAAGGAAGCACACGGCTTTAGGGTTTAGGGTTGCGGGTTTAGGGTTCTGGGGTCTGGGGTTTGGGGCTTAAGGTTTAGGATTTCAAGCTTAAAGAATGGACTTGTGGGCTTTTGGGGGGGTCGGGGTTCCAGGGTATAGTTTTTCAGTGACCAAGGTTCAGGCTTAGGATCTAAGATTCAAGATTTAAGGTTTAGAGTTTAGGGGCCATTTAGGGTTTAGGGTTTAGGGTTCCGTACAGAATCTAGCTTTCAGTTTCGAAGCTCAGGGCTTTACAGGGTTTAGGGTTAAGGGTTGAGGGTTTAGGGTTTGGGGTTTAGGGTTCAGCAGAAAATTTTAATGGATACTTACGGGCTTCTTGTATTTGAGGTACACTACAATTGACTATAATGGGCAGTCATTCAATGCTTGAAACATGGAATGTTCTTTTCGATTAACCCTGAACCCTACACCCTGACAGGCCTACCAGGATAATGCAAGGAGGCAGGCTCCAGGGTATGAAGATTCACCCAAGGTGACGAATTAGCGTTTAGGCGGACTTTCCATGGTATATAGTGAGGATATAGGATTTCTTAGGCAGTATATAGGAACCTTTAAGGTGTATATAGGGAGTATATAGGGATTACTTACTGTTGCGGAAGGACGCTGAAGGGACTGCAGAGCAGTGACAACGAGATGATGTTTGGTTAAGGCTCGGGGCAGACATTGTGGAAACATCAAGCAGCCAGGCTTCCCAACCCTCAAGAGAATTGGGTGCACTGAAATTACAACCTCCTGTTCAGCAGCTCTTAATAAGCTTGGCACAGACCCTTCGCAGCTACTGTTCATGGTGTGGTTCCAAGAGGAATGTGGGTGCAAGCAGAGCGCGATATGGAGAGAACATTCGGTCCTGAATAGACCCCTGATTCACCCTATGCCCATCAGCCAGCGCAGTAAGATTAACTGTAGTCTGGGTTGCTGTTAAGGAACTTAAATTAAGTTACTATATTGGGTATATATAATAAATAATAGGGTTTCCCCAATATAGTAACTTAATTTAAGTGTCTTAACAGCAACCCAGTAGTTGCTATAGCTCATCCTGTCAGGAAGGACAAGGCTGCAAATGGACAGGTCCTTCTGTTGCCCTCACCTGGCAACCCTTTTGAACTCTACACAAGAACTAAGCCATACGGAACTGTATTGTTGTAACAACCCTAAGCCCTTAATACCCCAAACCCTAAACCCAGAAGCTACAGGGACACTGCGTGCTTCTGGGGCTTAGCTAGGATAATACCAGAATAGCAGGAGCCACGCAGAAACGCACTCCCCCCATTCCCTACTGAGCACCAAGTAGTTCAGGGGCAGAGGGTCAGCTAGCTGCACCGTGTAACATGGCTTCACTTAGAGGGTCAGGGAAATTTATAAGTAGGTTCCTATTGGGGATAGCTGGGGTTATATGACGTATATGGCTTCTAGGGGTTATAAAATGTACTTACAAAGTCCTCTTGACCCTCCAAGTGAGTAGCGTTTTTTTGATGGTTCAACCTAGTAAGATAATATTCCTTGTATAAAATACTATACTCCAAAAAGGAGGATATAATCTTGCTCTATATTGGGTACCATAGTATCCCCAAATAAAATACTACTCAAGTAGGCTCGGAGGGGTAAGCTTTAGAGCCTGAGGCGGGAGCTCCGCGCTTCAGGAACTCGCTAATGCCAGTTCCAATCTGAGTGTCCTCCAGAATCTAGGGTTTGGGGTTTAGGGTTTAGGGTTCAGGGTTTGGGGTCTAGGGTTTACAGGGTTCTCAGGGCTTAGGATTTAGGACTCCAATCTAAGTGTGCTCCCCGATTCATATGGTGCAGGTGTACCGAATCCTGGTTCCTCTTCGGGGTATTCTTCGACTTCATAAGTTTGCATTCCTTCCGAAGCTTCAGCTGTAGTACTTAGAGACAAACTTGGAAATTCTGTGCAAGAAAAGAATGCCTGAACAATGAACATCGCTGCTAAGGAAACTTCCACAACATGGAAGAGAGATATATGTATATGTATATTTTTCCGTGGCGTTTCGTTATATGGGTAGCTGCCTTGAAGTTTCTTGACAGCAACCCATTGAACCCTAAATTTCAGTAAGCCTTACGTTTCGCTCTGTGTTGACCGAGCCATCTCTTGCCTAATCTGGTTGGTGCTTAGTAGGGAGTCGGGAAACGGCTCATATGGCTTATAGGGAGTACTGTAGAGCATCATGTAGGGACTACAATATGGGATTCATTCCCCCATTGCCTACTAGGCACCAATGCTTGAAGGTTGCAAGCACCGGTAAGACGTCAGGGGTTTGAGGCTAAGCGTGCAGTGTCTAGGCTTCAGGGTTTATGATTGAGAATTTGGGAGTAATGGGAAGATTCTTGAAATTCTTGTTCAGGGGATCGACTACATACAAACAAACATGTACGTGTGTGTAGGTGTGTATATATATATATACACACATATATTTATTTATGCCATATATATATATATGCACATGTAAGATCGAAGCGAGAAACTTGCATTAAGCACGAACGATTCACAGCAGCTATTCAAACCTAAACCCTGATCCCGTAAGTTTGGATCCCTAAGCCCCAAGTCCCCTACACCCTAACACCTACTTCATGCCTGCACATCAGGTGGACCCCCCCACCCTGTAACAGTGGCATAGTAGGACTATAAGAGGACCTGCCACTATCCCTTAGAGGCACGATTACAGGGAGGGGGGGTCCTCCTAACTTAAAACCTAAATCCAAATCCGCTACCATCAGCTCAAGGAACCCTAAACCCTGACCTTCAACCTGGATAGCAGCCCACGAGTATCCCATCAGACCGGACTACGGGGCTTCTCGAACAAAAAAGGCCTGAGCCTTTGGATTTGGGATTTCAAGTTCCAGGGTATGGGAATGCAGTGGGATTATGAAGGAATTCCGTGTTCAGGCGTATGCAAGGCTTCGTTTCAGACATGCTGCTTAACCTTTACACGAGTCAGGCTTAAAGTGTTGGAAGCCGGTGGCTAAGCCAGCGGATGATTGCTGTCATCACTAACCCGTATTCCACCTGAGCTTTCATTCCAGCTTCATTACCCTATGTGTAAAATGAACCCACAAATTATGCACACGAACTCCCTGGAGCATGAACAGCCTCTATCCGTGGACCCTCTGCAGGTGGAGGAGAGCGTCGAGAGCTTGCCCCTGGCACAAAAAAGCCAACATGTTTTGTCTCAGGGCCTTGTCACGAAGAAAAGGAATCACAAAGGCCAAACAATGACCCTAAACCCTAAACCCTAATGAGTAGTTTCCATTTTATTTTCCATCATCCCAATATAATCCCCCGTATATATGCATATACCCTAATAACCCTAAACCCTAATAAAGTAATAAAGGCAAAGAAGAACTCAAGGATGGCTTCTGGAACTTCAGCTTCGCCAGTCCAACACTTTCAATTACTTGAAGGACTAACAGGGTTTAGGGTTTAAGGGTTCAGGGTTTAGGGTTTAGGTGGTTCAAGGGCTTAGGGTTTAGGGCTTAGAGAGGAGAAATTAAAACGATTAATCAAGAAGTGGGGTTTTGCAGGTCCTCGGGGCCTTGATCAAATGAAGAAACAGGTGAAAAGATATGAGTAAGTCTCCCAAAATCCTTCCTACACAAGAACCAAGCACTTCTCCCCAAAACTGGAGTTTGCACATGCGCGTGTTGTCGACGCAGTCGGTTTCTAATGCTCCATCCATCCACTGCGGGGCTGCATGCTTATCTAACTTCAAAGCTTCAGCTTACGCAAACGTTGTTGTGGGGTTGTTGCGAATATGCAGAGCCCGTCCTATTCAGGACCCCTTACAGCCTTACAGTCCCACAGCAAAGCTCCTCTTCATAAATTCAGTATGCAAGCGCAACATTGCCATCATCAGTGCATCCTGAACGCCATCTCCCACGAAGATTTCTTCCAAGGTCCTGCCTCAGACATATCCACATATCCTAAACCCTAATTCGAAAACTTTAGAAGCTATGCTGAGCAAGACACCTTAGGGTCACCCTAAACCCTAAACCCTAAAGCATCGTGGTAATCAACTACAAAGCCAACCCGAAGGTTAGTTCGCAGGGTGAACTTATAACTCAATTACAATCATAATGTAGACCCATGATTCGTAAACCCCCTCCTTTTGAGGGCCCTAATATTCGGATCCCCATTATAATCCCTATTAGGGGGATGGGGTTTTTTCATAAGGGGTCTACGTTACTAGGTGCCTATTACTTGGGCTGCAAATTATATTATAGTATTATAGCTGGGTCATAATCAGCCTCAACAAACAGGTGCCCAATGAAGCAATGATGATTTACGAGGAGAAGCTGTGGTACACGCAAAAACCACAGCCCTTAATGTAGACCTCCTGATTAATAAACCCCCTCCCCCTAACAGGGATTATAATAGGGATCCTAATATTTAGGCCCTTAAAAGGAAGGGGTTTATTAATCATGGGTCTACGCCCTAAACCCTAACACCTAAATTGTAGTTTCCATCTTCTTTTCCATTATCCCAATATAACCCCTATAAAGCCTAAAAGGGGGGACCATAATCTTCTTAAGGGCTATACCCCCCCAAAAAGGTACCCCTAATTTTGGGAAGACCCAAATGAGC